TAAAACTAATCATAAAACTGACACTTGGTCGGGGAGGGCAGGGAAACGAAAAAGACTTGGATAAATTACCCGTCACCATGATTGATTAACTAAACATCTTCAAAAATGAACATTTGCAGTTTGCCCTTTCATTGTAAGAGTTTGTTAATGTTGATCTCAAATCAAAACTGCATTAATCTTACAGCAATCCCAAACCGAATCTTGATGAGGGTTTTGCCCAAATATTATGAATAAACTGCTCGGTTAACGTTTTATGACTCTCCTGATTAGTTTTTATTAATCTATCTATATCTATACTTATTATATAAAAATCTAATGGTGTCTGTCTGTATGTGTGTTACTAATAGGTGCAAAAACTACTGAACCATCTGGGCTTAAATTTTACAAAAATATAGTTACCATACCAAGGACCATTATAGGACTATCCACATTTCGATACTGACCGTAGGCTTGTTGCTTGACCGTTGGCTGACCCCTTTGGCTTTAAAAGTTCTGAGGAAAACATTTTAAAAGTAAATATTGATTGGTCTCCATGACTGCGATTAGAACACTAATGTTGTTTGTTTACATTTGCTTTGACATTTAAATGTAAACAAGAATAATTGCTAAACTGCATATTTCACAATTTTAGACAGCTGTTACAAAGAAATTAAATATAATATTTTCCATAACTACGTAGGATTATTTTAATCTACGTTAATCTACTTTTATCATGGATTATTTATCCTAAAACTATGTCAATGATTATAGAAAAAAAGATTTTATAACCGTTGCTGTATCAACTCCGGCTCTGTTTTGGATTTTTTACAGCGTCTAAGTTATGAAAATGATGTAATTGATATGTTTTCATGGAAACAGTATGAAAATTACAATGTATAGATGTTTTGCATGAATTTGAAGGCTACTTAAAATAAATTCTAACTGCTTAACATGTGTTAGATTAACATAACTTGCACATCACATTGTTTTTTATATGTATATTTAGGTAAATTAAGTTATTGTTTTTTGCTAAACCTGTGCTTAAATTAAACTAAAGAATATCATCAATAACTAAATTGTACGTCTTTGATTTTTGTTTTCTTAAATCTGTTGTATATGTGTAACTAAATTTAATTATCAAATGGTAATACAAAACACTCTTATTTTATCTTAACATTGCTTTCAGTTCACATTTACTTTATTTGATACATTTATTATTTGTGTTTTGCCACACCACTCATTAAATTAAACCATGGAAAATATCATACAACTAAACAGTACACAGTGTTCTTTTGTTTCTAAAATCAATGAAATATCTGTTACTATGTTTACTTAATGGTAAGTGTGAAAATGTAAAGGCACTGGACGATGGAACTGATTAAAAGAACTTTCTTGTATACTAAGTTGTTTGTTGACATTTTTGTAGAGTGGAATCAGAGATGCAATGAAACATATACTGTATTTGCTATTACATTTTTTAGTCCTTGATGCTTTGATAATCATATTAGTTTTGTCTTCTGTATTTAATGCTAAATGATTTGTTTAAAATTAATTATAGTATAGGTACTTATAGTAGATATAGTTTCTTTAATATATCAAAAGACTGAATTGATAAGGCACAGCAATAATTTTAAAGTTTATAACAGCTGACTTAGTTTTGCTAATGATTTATTGTGAGTGAAGAAACTGAAGATTTGTGATTTAATATAAAGAAGAGGGAAATAAAAAAATTTTTCATTTAAATTTAATAATTAGTATTTTTGCAGCTTCAAAATTATTATATTGAAATTTAAAATGTCAATTTAAAAGATATGTAATTAAGGGAGATTACGGTAAATCATGTATGTTAAATTTTTATTCTAAGATTTGGTCAGTTTTTCTCATATCAGCCCACACAAGATTTTAAATAATTAATCAAAACCAAAATGGTGGTATCCACTACTTACCATATTTTAAAGTCATAACTAAACGTTTATATTAAGGCTATAAAAGTTGAATTTTGTTTCCAAAAGCGTTTGCGGATGTGTAATTATTATATGCAACAGATGTAAAGATTAAAATGTTTAAATTTTGTGTCCTCTTCCCGTTGCAAAGCACGGGTACAAAAGCTAGTTTTTAAATAAAGGGGACATTTTATAGTACAAGTAAGGGTATATATTTGAATAACATAACAATAATCTTATTAGTAAAAAGTTGTAAGATAAACTTCAAATCATAATTTTATTTAAAAGCATAAAATATACAATTTCTAAACATCTCTTCTCCTTTAAAAAATTAGACTTTTCTTTTTCTTATGAAAAACGAGGTTCTCCTTATTTTATTAGTTGTTTTCCATTTTTATTTTGCGCTATCACTACTGTATACTAGAACTATAACTTGCGTAAAACAGCGAGGGATTTTTTTTACAAAATTATTAACCAATTACTGTATTTCCAATCTAAAACCGTTCATTTAGTAGGTATATTTGTCTAATGTGTATAAATCACCGACTTTATTTGTATTTGCAATGCTGTATATTCATAAGAGAGATGTTACTAACCACACAGAATGTAATACACAATGTGCAAACACAACTGTTAGCAGGCTGGCGCCACTACCAGCACCGCCATGTACACAGTACACAGTTGCAGCCAATTTAGTCTGTCATATAGAGCAAAGTAACGCTACTGACGAAGCTTACCATGTTAGTAACTGACAAACCTGCAAATCGTGATACACGGCCATTGGTTAAAATTTTGTATTAACCTGTTCGTAGACAATCTTCAGAAACCACGCAATATTTGAAAATGTTTCAATGTTTCAGATTGTTGAACAGTTTTGTCCCGAAATATGTTTTAAATACACGAAACTACGATCTTGTGAGAAAATTAGAAACCACCTACGTGATAATAGTGTCAAGATTTAACAGAAAGAATAATACATATTGCCTTTTACTATTTTCAACATATGGATAAGTACGAGTCAATGGTAAGGAGAGTATCTTTTGAGGCATACTATTGTCTTTAGCTTATGTTATTTTGTGTAAATTGAAATGATCGAATCGACATTTACAAGCTATCTAATGTATTATAACCAAATACCAACGCACGCGCTGTAAAGTCTATATTGCTGGTCTACATCATATCACTTCAGTAGAACTTGTAGTTAGTACCACCTAGTAACCGGAAAAGAAACTCACAAAACATGCTTCGAATTGTACAATAGCAAGTTGAAACCCCTTGAAGTATCGTTAGTCAATAGTTTATCTTACGTTTTCAACCCTTAATTTAAACAAAAAATGATTGATTCTAAATAAAGAATAAAACAGCGAAACACGATCGTCGTTCTGCATTGCAGCAACATAAAGAATTTAAAATCAAAATTCTCAAGTATTCTACAGTGTCCTTGTCACTTCTGTCCACTACAACCCCTCAGTATGTGTCAGTGATGTCAGGGTAATGTCGGTATACCGTAGACAAACCACAACTCAAATAACATAATTATGTCCATGTTGAGACGAGCGTCAGGCATAAGCGATGCCGTTTGATCATTCTGGGCTCAATTAGCTTACCCAATTAGCTTTTCATTGGTTAACCATGCGATCAATCGACTAATGATTGGCTGTTCCTTAGACAATTCTGAATAGAATCAATAACTGACTGGGAGTATTTCTGTTTTTAGCCAGTAAATTATATTTTATATTTGTTTTAAAGTTATTGAATACGAACAGTAAATGTACATTTCCCCGTATACATGACAAACATACGTACATGTGTATACATGTAAAACATATGTATATGTTTTATTAGGAACTAGTGAATTAAAAAGCAACAATAAATAAAGTTTAACTTTTTACACACCAAACTACATATTAGATTCTTCAATTTATATTCGTTTAATCTGTAAAAATTGGAAATAACAAAATACAGTATCGTAAATCTTCCATTGTGTGTCAGTATAAAGACAGTCTTAGACCCACTGAAATGCTAATGGAAAAGTTAACTTTAGCAGAGTTGCATAAACTCATTATGCTCAATATCAGATAGGGGTTAAACAGATTTGAAGATTTAGTATTAATATGGTTTATTCACAAGGTTTGTCAATGGAAATGGTACCATTAAACCTGCCATACTCTTTAAAAACTCAAACTTTAAATTGATTTAAATCATTAGTAATCCCAGATAGAGACTCGTGATATTAGCTCCTTCTTAGTTTCAGGAATCACTGAACCATTTTTTTATTATCGTTCAATTTATTTGAGGTTTATGTATATTGATAATATTGTTCGTATTTTAAAAGTACTGAAATTGATATCCTTAAAAGACTATGACAAAGCTGAGTAGACTAGCTCTTGATAAATATTTTATAACAAAACATTTGTATTAAGAATACTACTCTAAATTCATCATGAGATTAAATTAATTTATATCTTAGCTTTGACGATTTGAAGATATTATGTAAACAACCTTGTAGAAGAATTGATCACTCAGTACATCAATAAGTGTCGTTGAACTATATTACGTAACAATACAATAATTGTATTACCTAAAAGTACAGCGGGCAATTTTTGACTATGTTTTAACTATGGGCATTGTAAAACTTTCTCATTGTATTAATGATTGCTGTCTTTATCTATTATATTAAAATAGTATAAACAATTTTGTCGTTGAAAATAGGCTGATAACTATTTTGATAGTTATATATATATACTGTATACTGGTTGTATGTCTGCTAACAATATTTGTATTACAAATAAATATCTCGCGCAGACCATTTTAGACAATTCATCTTGTACTATACGCAAAACATAGTCAACTATATAAGAGTTGAACAAGTTTGATGATAATTAAATGTCACAGTTTATTGGTTCAATACGTTACAATCCAACTGAATTCATTTCGTTGTAAAACATGTTCCATTAAACGTAACTTTAACTAAATTTCGTTCGCTTAAACTAAAAAGCGTTTAATTGGTGGATTCTACTTAGCGGACCAAAATATCGCGCTTTGGATTGTAATCTAATTATCGATTACTAAAATTACCTATGTAGTTTGATGTTTGGTGGGGTTTATCCTTATTTAGCAGTGCAGTGTATTGACAGTCGTCCTGATGATAGGCATCGTGTAGGTCGAGGTGACAAACTTCACCTTCACCTCACCAACACTACACACAATGACTCACACACGCACACACACAGCGTGCCGTCCCCGCTCGGCTCGGGGGCAGCAAGGCGACTGCCGCCTTTACAGCACCGCCTCCAGGGGTGCCCGCCCCCACCGTGCCACCCCTTAACGTACCTCAAATGTTACTGTGTTCGACCGAACCTTCCATGGGATAAGTGGATTTCTGTTCAAATGTTGAAAATTAAATTATTCTATTCAATGGCATTGAACTAGAACATATCATTGTTCATACTTTTATCATTCACTGCTGGATACTGAACCTCAGAAAAATGGTATCCCTTCTTTTGATATTAATTTGAGCCAGAAGTTTAGAAGAGGAAAAAGAAAAGTAGCTATGTAAACATAAAATAAGTAGGCGAGATAAAATCTATTACCATGTTCAAAGATTATTTTGGTACGTCAACGATAACATAGACTGGCTAGGTAGGAAGACTAGGGTTTACAAACTCTATAAACTAAGGCTATTCGTAGTAAGGCACAGCTTCTATATACATTGTTTTCAAATAAAAAAATCTTAAAGTACAGTGCTAAAAGTAGATTTCTATAGACAACTGATAAACCAATATAAATTATGAACGAATAATAAAAGCACTAATCCTTTACAAAAAAGTTAAAGAGCGTGATGTCTAACAGGATTGAGAGGGATTTAAACATTATAAAAGAATCACAAATAAGGTTCATTTACACAATATAGCGAAATGTTTAATGATAATAGGCTCAAACAATTGAAGATAAAAAAGGAACAATATAGATCACTCACTATTTCAAAGGCCAATATTGTAAAAGTTGTACCGTAACTGACAACTGGAAATCTTATGTGACATGAATATACAAATAAAGTACTGCACAAGCAATGGATTTCATATGGGAATCAAATTAAGCTTTAGGTTATACAGTATAGCTTATCAATCATTTACTTTGCCTTACCATATAAACGTGCTGCAAAGTGATTGATTGGCGCACTAACCTACATACCTTTAAATTAGGGTATGAAGATTAATTTGTTTGATATTTTATCGTCACATCCAATGTGGAATCAGCCCGAGTTTTCTTCTTTGACAAATATGTTCACTTCTTCAAGATCTTCCACAGGAGAGGAACAACATGCGTAGTCTATTAGCATATCATCCAGCATGGACAACTGTGTCATTCTGGGGTCACAATGTCCATCGGGTACATAGATGAAATTTGTCTCACTCTTTGCAGAAAATCAACGACAACATCCTCAAGACTGTGTGCCTAAAAACATGTTCGTATCCTCAAACATTAAATATGTACTTATTCAAAGATACTACTTTATTGAAAGACCAACAAAAGTATTTTAAAGGTCCATTTCCATCCAATACTAAGGATGTTAGTATCTACTAACAATATTTTAAGCATTTTCAAGATTTCCTTTTGCTTTTCCTTGTCCTGACATGACATAAACTACATTAATGGAAATCAAAGTGGTCTGTTTGGGTTTTTTACTGTCTTCCTATAATTATAACGCTAAAGTTTCATCCCTCGTGTATAAAGAACTTACTAGGAAGGTCTTTCTACTCTCAAGAGGCGTAGCTACTAGAACAACAACACCACACAATCCGTAAGGCAGTGGCCAAGAACGGTTCTATGAAATAATATCAAAATCGTTACTTTTTAATCAAAACTTCGTAATACAAAATAGATAAAAGTACATATTACACTTTCCTTAGATCATTATTCTGCCATGTTATGAATTTAATGCCAAATGAACGAGTGTTAATTATTTCAAGAAAGTCAAAGAATGATCAATCTATTCTATCCTGGCTACTAGAATATTGATTATAGAATATAGAGATGTTTTCTTAAAAGATGTACTTTCTTTGATTTATGACAGGATGTGCTAATAGTAGACATCTAAGGCAGCTGACTCCGAAAGATGATATTGACGTGTTACCTGAGGTAGATATTTCCAGTTGTAGAAGAAGACCAAGAACCATGTTAAAAACCTACCTATATTTTGATTTGTGTTATTTATTTGGGCTTAAATTTAACGCTCAAGTTTACAATAGGTTACAATTATTTTTCTATTAATAATTTTGATATTCGACATACATAATTGACATTTGAACATTCCGTAGTTGGCTAGATTTAACTAAACCTTTATTTAAAATCTGGGTACAGCCTGAACATATGTTTTGTGTATTTCTATCAACCAATAACCAGTGTATTTAGGTCTAAGCTATATTTTCACCAGACGAGAATCCAACTCCAATTAAGTAATGTACTAAGTTTTAATGAGAATAAGGTTTACAACTGAAAACCTACTCGTTTAAGGACACATACTGTATAACAATATTTTACACTCATCTCCATTCATACTTGGCTTAAAATACCGACTTTGTATGGTCGCCATTTCAATAAAAAGTATTAAAGTATTACCATATTCTTACATAACAGATATTGCAATACTCTATAACATATATTGTTTATTCATAGTAGTAGTAACAAAATCAATTTAGTTAACACACTCGATGACGTGGGGAAGTAGGTTGTACATATCAATCGAGATGTATGTGTGTGAGGTGAATATTGGATAGTGGTGTACCTTGTGTAGTTGTAAATGAGTGTAAAAAGCTGTATGTAACGGACTTTTCTTAAGTAAAATGAAATGCCCCTTAATTCGAGTTCATAATACTAACTATATGATTTTAAAACTAAACGTATTTCATTACCATAACATTATCGTTTGGTAAAAGTTATAGTTATACTTAACCCCACAACTAATGTTTGTGTTACATTTAAACCCCGGATGCGTACAATGTCAGAAAATTGTATTCACTATGTATAATATAAATAAAAAACATTTCATTATAACTAGAGGACCCATTCTGCTCCGCAGCGTTAAAATAAAAATCATATCTGAGAAATAATCGTATTAAAGCCTACTGATTATTAATTTACTGATTATTTTGAGTTTATATAACATATAAATATACTGGAGCTATTGATTTTTAATCATAGAAAAACCTTATACCAATATTTTATGCCTGTTGTTTATCTTGCTTTTGTTTGCAACTCGTCCGATTTGAATAACTAATAGCTTAAATGAAAGCCGGTGTTTCACTGAAGGTTCTTAGACAAAAATATATAGAATTATATAGTTATAACGGGTGAAATACATCTTACATTGAAGTAAGAATTGGAAAATAAATCAAATTTATGTTTTTTGGTCGAGTAATACAGTAAATAAATATATATAAAATGCCAATGCTTGATATGAAATCTGTGCGTGCTTACCTTCAATATGAGACCTCAATCATGAAACTCGGTCGGGTAGAAGAGCCAAACGAACTTGGTAAAGAAAAACGAAATTTCCTTAAAGTTTTGCCTGTCTGGAGTTGTGGCATAAATAGCAGGTTTGACAAAAAATAACAGTCCACAAACGTAGGTTTATACGTAGGTCCACATTAATATCGGATGAGTATTTGTTTTGAGGCTGCTCAAATTCTTTTGCGTGTTTTCACGCTGCGACCGTGAGCGAAAAAACGCCCGTGTGGCCGCAGCTTTATGTATGTGCTTAGGGTACATACAAAACAACTGCTTCATTTATTACAAGTCACAATCAATATCACAAAAGGAAGTCAATTCACGTAGTTTCTTTTTCAGCACGTTTATTAATGTTTAAAGTCTTGAGCAAACAGGTTCCCGAAATGAGCCTTAGAGGGCTCACATTCAAGTTATTCCTCAGTTGTAGGTTTTTTACACTAGTTCTGTTATCAAACTGTAATCTATGTATATATGAGGTGATCCAAATAAGAGCTTCGCAGAAGTGATAACTGCTGTTCTTTGTATTTCACTGAACATGGATAAACTTAGGGTATTACCCATTTCACGAAGTGGACAATGTAATACCTATACTAACATCGCGGAGTGGGTATTTTATTCGGACATTTACTGAAGAGAAATGACCAGAACATTTCTTTTTTTCCAGTTTTGGGTAAACTGACTTACTCAAATGCTGAAGTCAAAACTATCTTCGGGGATTGAGCAAATCCAAAATACTCACAACGCAATGTGAGCAACAACAGGTTATTGTCCACGTCGGGTGAAATTGTAAGACATGAACTGGGCTGCGTTATTTATTTGTTGCCGTTGCTGTATTGAAGTAGTATTTAAATGACTAGGTTTGAAAATTGTCCTAATTTGAGGTTCGAGTGTATCAAATACATTAGTCGTGGGTTTAAGTGCAACTAAAACTTTTCCGTATATTATTTAGGTCCAAGTACAATATACGTAGTGGAAATTCGCTGGGCATGGAAATTAGAACAGGAGACACAATTTCGATTCTTTTCAGAAGAAAAAATGTAAAATTTATTCTTATAGAATTGAAAAAGGTAAGGTACGACAGTGCTTTATGTGCGAAATGCTTTTAACAAACTGAGTAAAAGAAAGTAAGAAACTGAGTAATAAGCTCAATAAACGTTAACCTCGCAGTCAATGTGAAGTCGGAGAAAGGCAGTAAAGTTAAAGGAAGAAAACAAGGAAAACATTTGTAGCGAAATGCAACGTATGTTGTTTTGCAGGAATTTTCTTCGCCCACAATTTTTTTTAGGGAATTTGTTTGCGATGGATTTAATTAAATAATTATTTATAGTTTATAATTTATATATGTATTGATATAATTATACTAAAAACTCTACAGTTTCTTGATTAAAAACTAGCATACTCAAATCGAAAGCGTAATGTAGCCATGGTCATTTATACTACATGATCTTAGTGTTTTCTTCAAGTAAACAAACTTATGTAATTTTGAAAAAAATATTTTGTGAATGTTGTTACATTTAAAAAATAATTATTGATTTCTGTTAACTAAGTTAAGTGTGGTTGAAAGTTATTTATGTGTTTGCCTATGTTATTTCTCGAATTATATATGTTTTTAAATGGTTTTTTAATGCTCATATTAATAATATTATGTTCATTTTTTTCATAAATTCGTATAACTTTATAGAACCTTACAATACAGAAACAATATCTTTTACCATATAAAAGGCTATACAGTTGTAGGGTA